TAGGATTAAGGTCGATTTTGACCTTAATCCTGTCAGGGATTGAGGATAGGGATTGAGGATAGAGTATCGATTACTTAGGGGTTGATTTGGCTATTTCTAAGGCAATACCCAGCGCCTTCCTAATTAGGCCTAGTGCCTACCAAGACCTAATACCTAGGACATCGCGCACGGGCCCTTAGTCAATATCCACTGACAATTGTGAATCCTAATACTCTTAGTGAGAGCCTATTGATTAGCTATAGCAATAGAACCTATACACGCGCCTGCCCCCCCCCTCTCTGCCTATGAGCCCGCACCGTGACATAGAGTTAGTTTTAGTATCTAGAGTGTTCTATATAGACTCTAAGGTACTATCTATAAAATATCATTTATTCTAATATTGTTTAAGCGCGGTCTATAAAAAGATAATAAAGGTTAGTTCTCTTAATAATAACTAATAGAGATCAAGTATAGATTTATAGAGTAATATTATATAAGTCTAAAATAAAATCAGAAAAGGAAAAGGATAAGAGCTGCAATTCCTATCTTATCTTAGTAGACTTAGAATAATTACTTCACTCTTTGTACTTCTGGTCATGAAACCCAGCCAGTACTTCAACCCTTCCATCCCCCCTCTCTGCCCACCTCTTGGCCGCAATGTCTGGATTCAGCTGCAAAGTCTGCTTCGCCCTCACCCACTCCTCCATAGTCACAATCTTATCAAATCTTGGTTTCACACCGGCCCTCTCCAGCACGGGTGAATCTGTTATCGGCAACAGCTTGGTGTCATTGTGTGGGCGTGCGAAGTACAATAGCCCGGTGCGCTCATACTGGCGCTGATCCTCTGGTGGGGCCACAACGCGGTGAACCGAAGACTTGAGCCATCCGCCTGTCAGATGAGAAATAGTGTCTGCAAGATTCACGGTAATAGTGCCCGGCTGTGCGCTGACCCAAGTCCAGTTTCCGTCTTCGCCGAGGATCTGAAGACCTGCAACAGGCTGGCGGAAGAGAAGAGTCACAGTTCCGAGATCGGTGTGGCCACCAGTTGCGCCATATTTGGCGGCTTTCCACTCCTCCTCAGAGCGCGCGTGGTAAATCATGTAGCGGAAGTGATCTTCAGACTTCTTGTCGTACGTGTGCTGTTTGACGAGATACTCTTCATCGGGAAGTTGGAGTACGATGGCGAAAAGTCGAAGTAGTGGTAGTACCACATTGGCGTGTAGCGCTTTCTGAAACTCTTCGATCTCAGGTAGATGCGCCTTGAGTAAGTCCGGATGATCATACTTGCCTCGGAAGTCTTCAGTGAATTTTGGGATGTTGAACATTTCGATGTTGTCTTTAGTGTCGGCAACCAGAGCACGTCCAGGTCGACGCCAGCCGTTATAGTCGGCGGCTTTGTAGTTGACTTCAAATTTCTCCTTCTCTGACGTTGGCAACTCGAAGAAATGCTTTGCAAGGGTGAATTGCCGATCGACTTGCTCTTGGCTCAAGCCAAAGTTCTTTACATAGAACTGGACGAGTTAGTAGCAGTGTCTTCGAGGATCATCATAGAGTACTTACGAAGCCGACATGGTGGACAGCATGCTCAAGCTGTTTTGCTAATCGCTCCTTACCTCCCGGGCGAGCGTAGTCCTCGAGGTCCAAAGTGACAAGCTCAGACCATGGCAAGTCTTCTTTCGTCTCTGGTGGATGAACGTAGGGCTTAAGATTCTTGAATTCGTACTTTTCGTAAGACTGCGTTTCCGAAGTCTGCGTAGCTGGCTGTTCAAGGGTCGTGGTGGCCATGTTGAAGTGTTCCGAGCTTTGGGATTACGAAGAACGGATATCTTGAATTTAGTTTAACACGAAGTTCTAGCTCATTTAGCAATCGCTCAGCACAGAAGCCCCAGCAAGCTTTATATTACTGGCCTTGAAGTGTCGAGCTCGAAGCTCCCCTCAAATGGTGGGGCCAACCCGATTTCATCAATCAACCCCTCAATGTCGCAATCCCGATACCCGCACTCCGGATTTGTCAGATATGCACGTCTCGTCTAATAAAACCTTTCAAAATAGCTACCTCATCCCATACGACGATAAGGATTTCCGGCGATAACGATGAAAGATGATAGCGAGTTCGTGTTGTGTGGGGGTGAAAGCATCGTAGCTAACTTGTTGGCGCTTTTCCCGGAGCTTTCGACGATGTCACAATGCAAGGCTCCTATGCCTTCATTCGCGCGTTTATTTTCAAGATTCGAACGGAAATTTACTCCGCATTGAGATGAATCAAGACGAAGAGATAAGTGGAGACGAAGAGACGAGCGAAGACAGAAATGAGCGAAGATGAAGAGGCTAGTGAAGAAGAAAAGAGGAATCAAGACAGATGGCACGGACCGTTCAATTTGCACGCGAGAGAGTCCATCACTCTGCAAAGGGCCTCGATTGGCACACCTTTATCACGAAAGTTCAGTATGTATAGCGATGATCAGGGCAAACATGAAGGGGCAGTACTTTATTGCCTGTCATCTCAGGGAACATTAGTCGGAGTTGTTGACGGGATTATTCAGCAACACTGCGATCAAGAAATCCAGAGCGTGGAAAATCCACCAGTGTCTGCATGGCAGAGATCTCCTTAGGTGAATTCAGAACAAGAAGGTGCGCTGTGTCCGGACCTTTCTATGGCACCAGACCACCCCGAATAGAAAACTCCGCCAATCGTGTTTCGAACCGCTGGAGGTTTCTTGAACATGTGCTGGCAAGGAAGAGGAAATGGGTCACGGTGGATAGAAACTTCCAGGATATGCCAGACAATGCCTCGAAGCCGTTTCGGTTTACATTTCTCTACCCTGCAGTCTCGCTATGAAGCGGCGTATATCTTCTTTTTCTCTTAAGGTGCAAAGCTAGAGATGATCGAAATTGATGCTAAGATCTAAAGAATATTAAGAGTAATATAGTAAAGAGAGATAATAAAGTAAAGCTTATATAAAATTTATATTAAAAATTAAGGAAAAATATAACTTAATAGAACCTTATAATATCTAAAGTAGTAGTTAAATAAATTAAGAATTAAGAGACTAATCTTTAAGAAGAGAGATAAAGTTTTCTTACTATAATAAAACTTAAAAACTAAATAGCTAACGTGTTTCACAAGCGAGTGGCTCACACTCTACCAGCGCGTTAACGTCGACACTACAACGTGTTATATCTTAATAATATTAATATCTATTAATCTATCCTAAATTAGATCCTTAACTTACTCTTTTTAATATCTAATTATAATATATTTAAACTTAAAGATGTACTATCTCTATCTATAATATACCTTAAAGAACTTTATCTTACTAATTTACTAGAAAGCGCCCCTAACGTAACTATAAACTAAATTTAAAGTATTTAAATAAGCTAGAAGAGGAGGCTATAGTTAAGTATATTCTTAAAGAGTCTATATAAGGATTTACGCCTATAAAGACTAATATTTAGATAATAACTAATAAACTACTAAATATTAAGGGCGAAGAGACCTTTAAAAGAGTTTATATTAGCCTATAGTATAGAAGAAGAAAGATAAGAAGAGTTAAGCTATCGTATAATACTTCTCTCTTTTATACCTTACTTCTCTACTCTTTNTATAAGTAAGTTCTAGCTAAGCGGTATAATATAGGCACGTGATGTGGGCACGTAATATAATTACGTGCTTTTACTCTATAGGCGCAGTCTATTACACCTCTAAAGCTAGCTTATATATTATCCTTTATAATAGACTCCTTAAAAGTAGCCTTAAAGGCTAGTAGAAAGGTCTCTTTACTAATATAGTAGGTATAGTTACGTACTAAGTCTAAAATAGCGTTACTATACTTATATTTTAATAGTAAAAAGTAGTTAATATAAAGAGGCTATAATAAGTAAAATAAGTATATAGATATATAGAGAAGAATAATATTCTTCTCCTTATAAAGATCTTAAAAATTAATAGAGTAGTAGCTCTTATAGCTATTAATAATAAGGAGTTAATATCTATCTATAGTATATCTCTTTATATAGATATTAAAGTACTTAAACTAGATAAGAATAAACTAGTTATTTATTTAGATATTAGAATTATATTTAAGAACCTAGTTAGTAGATAAATCTTTAAACTAGACGTTAATAAGTATCTTANCTATAAAGATAATAAAGAGTAGTATCTAGTAACTTAACGTGCCTACGTCTTAGTGTAAAGAGCTGCGCCTATAATCTCTACTAAAGGTATCACGTGATTCTTAACTACGTGATATACCTTCTATATAGATACAGAGGGGTAATATAAAAAAAGAGTAATTAAAAAAGCTCTAGTTTTTAAACTAATAAAACTTAACGATCATTAGAGCTATTCCTGATCAGGCTAGCTTATTTTAAAGAGAAGAAGTGGAAGTTTTACCTAGATAGGCTTAGTATATGCTTACTCAGCACAGTTAAAGCACTAAATAGCTCTAAAGTAGAGTCTTAAAAAAACGCTAGTTTTAAGCTTAAATATCTCTTTAATTAGGGTATCTTTTTTCTTTAAAATCATATATAGTATATAATAGACGTTAAAGACTAAGAGTCTAGAGTTTAAATTTAATTAAAAGAGAATTAAAAAAGATAAAGCTTATTTTAATATAAGCTATTTTTTACTAAAAACTAAGTAATAATAGCGACTAATACTTAGTGTACCAGCCTTTAGCTTCTATTACCTGCCTATAATAGTTAGGTAAAGATAAAATATAGTTATCTATTGCCTGTTATAGAATAGCTTGCTACTCTTCTAAAATCGCCTATTTAAACGTTTTAATACTCTCTTTATTAAGCCTAATACCTAAAGAACTTATTTTTCGTTTATTTAAACGATCTTTAAGTAAGCTCTAAATATTTTTAATTAGGTTTAAAGCTAGGCTATAGGGAGTGTGTAAATAAAGCTTAATTTTATTTCTTTTAAACGAGCTTAAAATATTTTCAGTTTTATAAATGTTAGAGTTATCCTACTAAAATTACTAACCTATATAGCTATTAGTATCTATCATAACTTATATTAATTAGAATATTAATAAATATTCTAATTATATAATTAAAAATTAGTTAAGTTAAAGAAATTATTAATTAAACTTACTGCGTTTAATTTTTGGTTTAACTTGCGGTATTAGAGCTTTTCTTAGATAATAATAATTATTCTAATTAATAGTTATTTCTAGCGTTTTAATAACTACTATATCGGATCTACTACCTATCTAAACAGCTCTCTAAACTTAAATCTTAATAACACGGCCTATATCTCTATTAGTAAGCTAGATAAAAAAAATCTAAAATTATAAAAAAAAACTAGATATTTAATAGAATAAATTAGCCTATTAGGATTTCTTTTAAACTCACTTTTATTAGCTGTAGAAACGTATTTCTTGCTAAGGTTGAATTTTTGCCTTNTTCTCACTCCTTCGTTCCTAGAACTATGCCCACGTTGTATTGCTGACTTATTAGAAAATATAATTTTACTAAAATTAATATTTTCTAGCTCTTTAACTCTCTCTTTAGCGTATTTAAGACGATTTTTAGCTTTACAATTGTTGAAAATAGCTTTTTTTTTAGCAACCTTATAATAAAAACTTTCTACTTTTAAAAGCTATTATAAGCTTCTAATAGTTATATTAAGGTTATTTTTAGCTAATAATCTCTTATTTTGTTTTTTAGGGCTTCTAGTTAAGTCTCTATTAATAGCTCGTTTAACTCTAGAAGTAACCTTTAAATTCTTAGCGTTTTTAGCTCGTACAAAAGAGCTATTTAGCTCTTTTTTTTCTTAACTCCGCTAATAGCATTATAAATTAATTTCGGAGGTTTTTTTATTATATTAATAATATCTTTAATAGAAATATTTACATTTAAGAAACCTTAAATTTTAGCTTTGAAACTTAAAAATTTTGTAGCTATTTTGAGAATTTAGAGGTTTAAAATTTTTTTTCTAGAAAGATAAGTGTTACACGGGGTCTGGAGTGCTAATACTTCTCTGGCTCGATCCGGGTTAGGGCGAGTAGGATTGGGGTTAGCGCCGTGAGAGTTGCCTGGCGATTCTTAATGGAAAAGAGTTATGGATGTAACCG